ACTGGAACAGCAAGGGGCAATTCCTTTGTTTTTGTTGTATACTGAAGACATTTGGGTCACAAAGCTCAAAATTTTTTTGTTTCCCTGAACAAACAAAAACATAATAAAACACAAACAAATCTAACAAATTTGTAATTCCAAATATAAAAAGTACCATAATGCAGTAAAACATATTATATATATATTATATTTACATATATAATATATATATATAATAATGTATTAATATATAATATGATACAACACTAGTGCAGCAACATGCAGAACGTATGACAGGAATACAAAGAAAACTACAAAACTACACTGTAACAGAATGTGTGGAACAACGCAGCTGGACAACATGACGATTAAATAACATCTCCCTCTTTCTCCATTATTCTCTATGTAGTTTCCGCCTGGTTCCCTTCCTCACAGAGCTCAGAGCCGTCATGGACTGGGTGTGGACAGACACGACTCTGTCTCTGTCATCGTGGATCTGTGTAGAGGATGTTTATGCACATTGCTTTGTTTTAAAGTGTTGGAGGGAGTCCGAGAAGGTGTGTGTGTGTTTGTGTGTGTGTGTTTGTGCCAGTGGTATGACGTGCAAATACACGTGCCTCACTTGTGTGTTTTCCTGTGTGTCTCTGCTCAGAGATACCCGCAGCCCCGTGGTCAGAAGAAAAAGCGCGTTGTGAAGTATGGGATGGGGGGCCTCATAGTCCTGTTGTTGATCTGCATCGTCTGGTTCCCGCTGCTCTTCATGTCACTCATCAAGTCCGTCGCCGGCGTCGTCAACAGACCCCTGGACGTTTCTTTGACCATCACCCTGGGCGGCTTTCAGGTAACCTAGTCAGACTTAATCTAAGTAGTCTAATAAATAAAAAAATTCAATTCAGTCCCTTATTCATCCCACATTGGGTAAAATTACAGTGTGAGCCTTCAACGCGAAGGCTGCCAAATGTGAGGCACCATTAGGGATATGTGGTTCTTTTGGGAATCGAACCCAAGACCCGCTATTATTTTTTACAGTGTACTGTGTACTGTAAAAATAATAGATATATATAGATATATATAGATAAAAAAAATAACACACACACACATATATATACATATACACATATATATATATGTGTATATGTATATATATGTGTATATATATATGTGGATACACATATATATATATATACATATGTGTATATATATATGTGTGTGTATATATGTATGTATACAAATATATGTATATATATATATATGTGTATCCACATATATATATACACATATGTATATATATATATACATATGTATATATGTGTATATATATATGTGGATACACATATATATATATATACATATGTATATATGTATATATATATATATATACATATGTGTATATATATATGTGGATACACATATATATATATATACATATATTTGTATACATACATATATACACACACATATATATACATATATACATATGTATATATGTATATATATGTATATATATGTGTATATACATATATACACATATATACATATGTATATATGTATATATATGTATATATATGTGTATATATATATGTGGATACACATATATATATATACATATACATACATATACAGTCCCCTCCAAAAATATTGGAACAGCAAGGGGCAATACCTTTGTTTTTGTTGTATACTGAAGACATCTGGGTTTCAGATCAAAAGATGAGTATGGGACAAAAGTTCAAAATTCCAGCTTTTATTTCATGCTATTGACATCCCTTTGAACTCACCCACATTTCACCCAAGTGAGCAAAAGTATTTTTGATGTGGCCCATTTTGATTGAGTCGATGTTTGTGTCGTTGCCGCCGCTCATTTGGAAGCCGTTAATGTTTACAGCCAATCTTCACCATGAGTGCGCAGCAGAACCAGCTCCGAGACCTTACTGAAGAAGAGTTTAATGCCTTCGTCAGCTCTTATAGTTACACACCTGTGAGTCATCACTCATTCACACACGCCCGGTCATGTTCAGCCGTAATAATAATAATACAACTAATATTAATGTCCACCTGTGTATCCCAAGAGCGCCTTGCAGTTTCTGGAAGCATACACACACCAAGATGTGACTGTGGCAGAGTTGCAGGGCAGTAGCAACTCTCTGTGGACTATCAGTCCTCCAAGTCGATGGTACCTGAGCCAGGTCCTGCACCTGGACCACTTCCCCCTGACCTTGTCCTGGACTGTGCAAAGGTTTGGATTAGTCTCGTTTACTGCTCAATACTGGTGTTATCCAGAGGTGGAAAGTGACAAGTGACATTTACTCACGTTAACCGTAATTGAGAAGTATTTGTGAGTAATTTGTCATTTTTAGGTCGTTTTGGGAATAGGTAATATTAATTTTAGTACAAGTTTAGTACAAATTTGATTCAAGTTTTTTTTACTTTGTTATATGGGGGGAAAAAAATAAAAAATTCATTTTTTGCATCATGTAATTTAAAGTTACCAAGTAACGTTTTTTTAATTATTTTTAACTAAATTTTAAATTATCATGTAATTTAAAGTTACCAAGTAACTTTTTTAAATTATTTTTAACTACATTTTAAATTAAATTAATTAATTAAATAAAGTATTTTTTAAGAATTAAAAAATAAGAATTAATTTAATAATAATTAATTTAATAATTAAGAATTAAGAAGTATTTTTTAAGTATTTTTTACTTTTACTCTAGTAGATTTTTAGATGGGTACTTTTACTTGAGTGGAATTGAAGTAAAGTAAGATCCTTTTACTTAATTACATTTCTTAGTACTATAGTACTTTTTCACCTACAGTCGTTATTCCCTTGGGCGACTACTGATTCTTTTCTATCAAAACACTTGACTAAATGTTTGTCAAGCAGGAACCTGAGTCTCGGGGCAAAGGCCGAACTAGCATCGGGCAAACATGTGACCTATCTGGACAACCAGACTCGTCTGGAACTAATTGAACTGCTGAATGGAAACAGAACACTTCCTGTGTGAGTATATTGGGCTGTGGCCAGACTGGTGCAGCTGTTTGACTGGAAAACCTTCCAACCTTTTCGTCATGCATACAGTACTGCCTTAACTGTGTAACATTCATCCTGAAGGAAGAGAATACTACTGTAATTGAATATAAGCCACACCCACTAAATTTCAAAAGAAAAAAATTAAATCTACATATATAGGTCGCACTTTTCTATAAGCCGCAGGTGTCCACGTTGTAACATGGGATATTTTTTTAGACATTTAGAAAAGATTAGAAAGTTTTTTTTTTCACTTTAATTAAATAAATGCTTTTTTCTGTATAATCTACAATGCCTGTAACTAGCTGGTTACACGTTAGCTCTTTCCTGCTTCGGTGCCCTGTTCGTAGTTTGAATGCACAGGGGAGACTTAGTGATCTGCTCCAGGTCTGAAGCTAACATTAGCTCTGGGGCTAACTCCCTTCACTTTGTCCTTGTCCGCAGCAGAGGTAAACAGAAACAGTGAAGTTGGGGTCTTTATTATCAGCCACTCCGACCACAACAGAACATAAACAGCTCCTGTATAACCAACTCACTCTTCAACATGACAGAGCTCAAACTGCTCTCAACTTTCACTACCGTTCTCTCTCTCTCTCGCACATACCCCATGCACATATACGCACCCAGCCATTCACAGACAGACATAGGAATGAACTTTGTTAGCCTGTAAAAATCCATAAATTAGTCACATAATTGATTAGGCCGCAGGGTTCAAATAGTAGTATAGTATAGTCCAGATATAACGGCAGTACATACCAATGACTTGATGATTTTTGTCACCGTCTCATCTCAAAGTAGAGTCCAGTTGACGAGTTGTTTAATGGCGTCAACACATTAACAGAGGAGGAACTACACAGACTAACTATACAGACACGCACGTCCAGTATTGAACATGTAATTCTCCGTACATTACTTCCCTAGCCTTGTGCTAATGGCGATAACAGAGCAGCCATACGTTCGTACGCCTTGTGACAGTATGAATGGGGATCATCTGATCAAGTAGCTGATCCAAAATTACAAACGTAAAATTCCACTGCACCGTGCAAAAAAAAAAACCCCAGGCAACTGGGACTTCTTTCCCCTTCGGAACACCTGTTGCCGATGATGTAGTATTTTGTAAATGTTCCTTTTGTGCCAAGTTACCGCCCTTTATTAAGAATGAATGATCACTATTGGTTTAGTTGAGAATAACAAATAAATACCAACGTCAGCCCGTCCACTCTCAATTCCTTAGCGGGACACGAGTGTTCGATATTCAATCCAGAAATGACACAAATCAAAAGATAAGAAAGTAGTTTTTGTTGACTATAAATACTGTATTATGTTCTAGTACAAACAGCGAGTAATATTACGTAATATTATTTTTAAAATGTTCAACTTAAGCAAAAAAAAAAAAATTAAATAAATATTAAAAGTGCAACATTTAATTGACATTTCCAGTCATGGGCCAGAAGGGAGTTTTAGAGCACTAGTATAAGCCAATCAGAATTAGAGTTTGTGACCACACATACAGAAGAAGAAGAAAAAAAACAATACTTTTCCTGTCATTTGTCGTCGACAAATGAGTTTTTCTCTTCAATGCCCTAGTACACGAGGCATCTTTTTCTTACACTCGAGACATTTTTTGGGCGCTAAAATGCTACACCCTGCAAATGAAATGCTCCTATTTTTGTTTACAGTGTGATACAGGACGTGTTACCATGTTTCCTCCGCGCTCCGAGCGATTCCAATGCCAAACCTATTGAGCATCTTTACACAGGTGTGATATCGCGTCTTGTCAACATGGCAAAAAAAACCCACAGCGCCGTTCCAAGGCCTCATTATCGACTGAACACTTTTTCTCTTCCCCTCAGATAACCAGTACAAGGACATTCTGTTAGCTCTGAAGAGGTCTGCTAACCCCGGAAGAGAAATACAAGAGTGGTGGATTGTTGACCAACCGAGTGTCAGCTCAGTTCCACTTCAGGGCGAAGCGTCGCCGACAGTACAGAGGGAGGCGGGGCTTCAGCTCTTTGTATTCAGCGACAAAGTCAGTCCTCCGAGTCTGGGCTTTTTGGCAGGATATGGGTAATCATTACCGACAGATACCGGATAACATACATGATTTTGACTGGTATAAATGACTTATAGTGAAACAGTAATAGTCGTAGACGTGCCATGTATTTTGAACCAAAGCCTTCAGGGGCATAAATCCATATAGGTAATAACATCAAAATGGCAAAACATTATTATGAGGAAATGTAAACCTTTACTTAGCAAACAAAGTTGGGTGGTTTTTTCCCCACCGGTAGTGAAACACGTTGGATGTATTTCCTCCTTTCAGTGAGAACAGAGAAAACAAAAATTTTTCAAGCTTGAAAGTCACTATTGATACAGTATGCTATATTCAAGACGTGTTCGTCGACCATCCAAATGAAATCACTCAAATTTGGTGTTGTCAATTCAAAATCTGATTGGTTAAAAAAAATTATTTCTTCTTCAAAATCTGATTGGTTAAAAAAAAAATATTTGTTGCCATTCATATAGGCTCCTGGCACTTAAGATACCGATTCTGAGAGCCTTAAGGCAGACTTTATTCACCCCGGCAACAGATGACGGATGAAATATGATTAGATAAAAACTCGGTATAAATATATAAACGATTTACATTACAATACATTTCAGCAGACGCTTTTATCCAAAGCAACTTAGAATTTGAGTCAGTCAATCAACAATCAAGCTACAGTAAAGATACAAAATAAATAAATAATAACACATAGTAATAAATAATAATAGATCATAAATAGAAACAGTACAGTTATAGTCATAGTAGGTCGTAGGGTAAGAAGAGGTGCATGTTAGATGTTAGTGGGTTTGTTAGGATAGGAGATGTTAAATATATATTTATATATACAGTTTATATATATATATATGTATGTATATGTACTGTATATATATATATATATAGAGAGAGAGAGGTTTACTTTTACTCTCTGCAGTGAGATTATCACTAATGGGTATTAGTCCCGTTCTCGTACTACACATCAAAACACTTTAAAATAATCAGCGTTTCAAGTGATAACGTATATACATTCTAGTAACAGAACAATCTTTCCGATACTGTACGCAGCATTATGGGTCTGTATGCCTCTGTGGTTCTGGTGATTGGGAAGTTTGTGAGGGAATTCTTCAGTGGTATCAGTCACTCCATCATGTTTGAGGAGTTGCCATGCGTTGACCGTATCCTGAAACTCTGCACCGACATTTTCCTGGTGAGTAAAATCTGATAGACGTTGTCATCTACCATTACCTTTGTTGTATGCGTCACATTGCCGCGTATGTTTCAGGTGAGAGAGACTGGGGAGCTGGAGTTAGAGGAGGAGCTTTACGCCAAGCTCATCTTTCTCTATCGCTCTCCCGAGACTCTCATCAAATGGACCCGCCGCTGAAGGACTTCCTGTACTGTGAAGAACTGCTCTTTACACTTGCTCTTTAGACTCTCGTCAGATATTGTGTGTCCGTTGTCCGGACGTTTTCCCGGCGCACCGTCGGACATCGCTGACAAGGGTTTGATCAAATCGTTTTAACTGGAAATCTGGAACTTGCTGTGTGAGCAAAACGATGGGACACAGTATTGTAGCTCGTCATAACAGGAATTATCTCAGGAAACAGTCACGTCCTAGACCGCAGGAATACTGAATGGCGATTGTTGATTATCGAATACTACTAAGGACTATTTCATATTACTAATGTTTTATCCTGGACAAGAGGAACTGATGGAGTAGCTAAAATAAATCAGACCTGCATAGGCACAGACAAGCACAACCAATGGAAAACATGGTTTAAGGACACGTTCTGAGAGAGATAATCTTTTTCCTGGAAATGTAATTCATCTTAAAATCTGGTATTGCTCCAAAACTACCGTCTTTCTCCATATCTGGTATTGCTCCAAAACTACCGTCTACCAAAACTACCGTCTTTCTCCAGGACAATTTTCACAACCTTTTGAATGGTCTCTCACACATGTCTTATTTCATCACTGTGCTGACATTATATTAGACCGTCGCTAAAGCTGCGGAAAATATTTTTGATCATTGTACAGTAGACCTAGCAATTTACAATATTCCAGTTAGTTGATAAAGACCAAATACTGAGAGTGTTAGTGGGGTTAGCTTTACCATCTATTGTTAGCCTAGCTTTGATAAAGACTGAAGATTAAAATAAAATGCTACGTAACAGTGTGGCATGAACATGCTACAAGCTAGCACACCGGTAACGTGCAGCTAACACACAGGGTGCTAGTGCACCAATATCACAGGGTTGGCTGGGTTTTTGCTGTTGGTTCAACGTAGGCCATGTTTACACTAGCTGCGATACGACTACCGTGCCACTGGACACAGATTTGGCGCAAAAGTACCGTAATTTCCGAACTGTTGAGTGCACCTGAATATAAGCTGCAACCACTAAATTAAAAAAAAGATACAAAAATATATAGGCCGCACTTCTCTGTAAGCCGCAGGTGTCCACGTTGTAACATGGGATATTTACACAAGCCATTCACAGACAGACATCATAACTAGTATAACACACGGTAGCCTACCAGAAAAGTCATCGATCGCTAGCATTATGAACTTCTTCGGCTTGTAAAAATTCATAAATTAACCGCATCCTTGTTTAAGCTGCGGGGCTCAAAGCATGTGAAAAAAAGTAGCTGCTTATAGTTCGGAAATTACGGTAAGTGTTTAATCAGAGCTGCTAAATACCACTCCAGTCCCTGTGGTACGTATGCATGTAGCGCTGTGTCACCCCCGCTGTAACATAAAACACGGGAGTGCAAAGTGAAATAATTAGCTGTAGCACACCAAGTAGCTGAATTAGCCTCTCTAGCATGGTCATAAGTTACCTCGTGTCCACCATTGTTGATTTGTGTGAGATTAAGCAATGGTGACTGGGTACAGAATTATCATATTTTCCATTCTGGGATCCGCATTCGGAGAGCATGGGAAGGGCACATTGTTGTTGTTGTTAGCGGGATCCATAATCATATCACAGTGATGGCAACATCATGGGAAGGGCACATTGTTGTTGTTGTTGTTGGAGGGATCCATAGTCATATCACAGTGATGGCAACACGGCCCTAGTAGGGTAAATCAAACCCCTTAGTAAAGTACTGTGTGATAATAAAGACTTGAACAGCACTATGTAAATACAGACCTTGCTACATGCTTAATCGCAAGTTTCAGACAGGCATCATCCTAAACAGATATGGAATTCCTCATGGAAGAAGAAGAGAGGCCATGGTAAAGGAGCTGTTAATCAAACAACACTGTCAACCTGGAAACCATTAATACAAAAAAACAAACACTGTAATCACACTGTTTTGTCCACACTACCACCCAGTGGCCAGAGGTACACTTGTCAATGTGATGTGATGTGGATGTGAAAACTGTGAAGTCAATAAAAAAAAAAGCAGCCAAACCAGTTTTATAGATTTGATGATTCATTTGTCGTTAGGTGAAAATGTATCCAACACATGAGAAGAAGCAATAGCATTCACATTGCGCCGTTAGAATAAGGTGCTAGGACAGTTATAGCCAGTCACGATTTTCCATCTGTTGAATTATACTAAATGTGGTCTAGGGGTCAGGGTTCCTAGGGTTAGGGTCTCTCTTCAGATCTTACCCTACCGTATTCTCAAACCTCATGCGGAAGCACATCTGTCCACCATGTGGCATTAGTATCATTGCGTGTAATGACATCATTGTGGAGAAGGGCCAATTCCAAGTGGTAACCACATACAGGTTAAGCTCCCTTACAGTACAGTATTTGATTGAAAACACCAAACAGCTGCAAGTGTTCGATATTTTGTGCCGCCACTTATAGGCTGCCAGGCAACTTCGTCCAATCTCTAGCCAGAATCCCCCCGCGACAACATCCGTTCCTTCTTTGGTGTTGTCACTACCTCTGACCTTTGGGATGACGTCAGCTCCGGCGAGGTGGTCAGCTGTTCCTTTAGTCCACTGTAGGTTCTTTCTGACAGGCTTCGACTCCTACGGGTTGGAGTGATTGTCATTTTTGAGGAGGAGGAGGAGGAAGAAGACGGGCTGAGAGTGTAACCAGAAAGGAGGTTGGCCCTGGAGTCTCCATCAGCCTCGTCTTGTAGACTGCACAAACTGCAGGGCGCTGCTGATTGGCCCTTTTGGACAAACGGAAGTGGTAAGGGGAAGGAGCATGGGCCTTGACCGTCCCCTCGCCCTTCTTTACGGTCACTTCTTGCGTCGTCATGGTCTGAAAGTGTTCTGCGAGGTGTGCGAGGCGGCGGACGACGTAGGGGTAGGGTGAAAAAGCCTCTTTGCAGTGTATGGCCACATGGGGTACAAGGAGGGTTGCTTAAGCTAAGGGGGCGAGAGTCCTCAGTTCGCTGACAGACACTGAAGACCAATTCATTTCCCCCTGGTTTGCTTAACAAAGGTCTGCCTCCCACCTCTCCCTCCAGGGAGGTGGGCGAGGTATTCTGTTTGAATTCCAGGCTTTTTAGTTGGACATAATTAACCAAACCATTAAGTGAGATAGCTGATGATTGATGGACTGGCGGTCTCAGGCTGTGGAGGTCTATGACAGTCGAGTACACGTCATGAAGGTTGATTACCTTTGACTTCCGATCGCGTTTCTCATGCAGCACAGCGTTTGCGCAGATGAAGAGGAAGATGCCTAATCCCATTATGAGAGGACCAAAGACTTTAAGCCTATCAGAGCACAGATATCTGCAGTGAAACAAGAACAGTTGAGCAGAAGCCTGGGGGAATTGCCAACGAGAGATTGAGATCAAACCCTGGTACTTGTCTTGTATAACATTTGAATCTAAGGTTACGGCAAAATGGATTGGCGAAGATTAGATAGATAGATGGATGGATGGATGGATGGATGGATGGATGGATGGATAGATAGATAGATAGATAGATAGATAGATAGATGATAGATGGATGGATGGATGGATGATGGATGATGGATGGATAGATAGATAGGTAGGTAGATAGATAGATAGATAGATAGATAGATAGATGATGGATGGATGGATGGATGGATGGATGGATGGATGGATGGATGGATGGATGGATGGATGGATGGATGGATGGATGGATGGATGGATGGATGGATGGATGGATGGATGGATGGATGGATGGATGGATGGATGGATGGATGGATGGATGGATGGATGGATGGATGGATGGATGGATAGATAGATAGATAGGTAGATAGATAGATGTGGTGTTTTTATTGCAATTAATATTATAATATATATAACCTAACAGATCATGTGGTATACTTAGGATACATATACATAACTATGTATATGTAAACAATCGTTTAACAACAATCTAAAAGAAGGAAAGTACTTCAATTTTAAAAGCAATATCTTCTGCCTGAAAAATTGTGTAGGATCACACAAATCTGATTTTGACATCATAAACATGAGGCTGACATCTGATCTATTTGAACTACCTGGGATAGCAGACACTGTTGATGGTGCAACTCGGAAGAAGAAACAGTCAAAGTGTCAGACTGCGGTCACATCGGTTTCTCAGTTTTACTTAAAACAAAGTCACTTTGAACATAACACCTACAGAACAAAAACAGAACTCCAAAAGTGTCAAATCGCATTTACCTGTCCAGGAACTCCCTCAGATAAGCTTGCCACCGCTGGTTTGTCCCGTTAAAGGAACCGTCTTTGTCCCCTCTGTCCAGCTCCGCTAATGTCTGTAGATCGTTCTCCCTCTCTCCTCCCTATGAACAGTGACACTGACATGTAAACGCGAATGTAAGAAAAAAAAAAAAGACGTATCTTTCTGTCTCGTACCTGTTCAATGGGACGGGTGAAATTGAAGGACAAAACAGAAGCGACAGCAGTGCCCTCCTGTGGTTGTGCTGTAAAAAGCAGGCCCTCTTTTGGCCAGTAACCCAGAGCTGCCATGACCCCACCCACCAGTAGGACCACAAGTCCGAGTGCCGCCACGAGACCCGAGAGCGAGCAGAGCTTTAACTTTGCCTTCACTACGACTGTCTCTGTCTTCCTGGAGGGACCAACAAATTACCATAATCACACCTCAAGCCATAATTCAATATTTACACCGAAAGACAACACTTACAGTGTTTTTTTTTTGTGCATATTGTTTTATAAGTTCCTTCTTGCAATTGTGTTTTTCTGAACAAACATTCACATTGGTTTTGTATTTCTCTCTCTTTTTTTATCTGTTAAACTGCCAGTAAAGATGTAGATGTAGCATGTTAGCAAAGTTAGCCTGACCTAGCTTATATTTATTCAGAACTGTGTTACTTGACTAACAAAACACTAACACACTATTTATAGGAACACTAGTAATTTGCTTAAACACAGCAACGCGCTAACTGCCAACATTAGCTTTGAGTTGCTAAAATGGTGGGCATTGAATAAAACATATAAGAGGGTTACAGATTTTTCGGTTTAAATGTGTACGCATCATGGGTTTTAAATGTTCAAATGTATTTTTTTTTTTTTTTTTTTTTTTTTAAATCTTTTGTCTCGTCTTATGCGCGTGTCCAACCTCTACCTCTTCTTCTTTCTTCTCTTGTGTGTGTGTGTTTTGTGTGTCTTTGCCGAGTCCTGGCGCCGAGCATTGATCCTCAGGAGGCCCCCGGTTGCAATCATCCCCTCCCAACAATCACAGGACGTCTCAGAGGCTGTGGTCAAACCACGTCACCTAAACTCAAGAGAGGCGTAAAAGATCACCATCACTTGTTTTGCTGTTCAACACAGACACATAGGGAACGAAATGTTGATGATTTGAACAGTACTGATCGATACAGAGCAATCACCACATAGTAAATACTATTACATGATCAATATGGTTTGTAACCTCATGTTGCATATTGAAATTTGGTTACACAGTGATCAATACCATTACATGATTAATCACATTGTTTACCACTGTAACATAAAATGGTTAATTATTCATAATTACTGTCACATGCATAAGGAGTTTGTGTAACCTCAGTACATATGTGGATACATTAGTAGCAGCATGTTACAAGTTGAATTAGGGCAGTACTTCTGGGGGCAAGGTGAGGTGCGGGGGGAGTGGTGGCTGAGGGCCTTCCAATGGAATATGGCACGCTGGACATAAGTGTACCACTGCTGTAATGCTTGAATGATAATAAGCCTCCACACACTAGGTGGCAGCAACTCTTTGTTTGTACAGATAAAAAAAAACATACACGTTATAAAGTTCTCAATAGTATTTCAATTATTCGTGTGCGTGTCCTAGTGTTTCCCCCTAATTGAGAACCGTTGAATTAGGGTGACATATTGATCGATACCATTACATGCTCAATATGTAATATTGACCATGTATGGTTACACCTTGTACATATCTACGTGTTACCTTATTACTCATGAGTATACCTGTGTAACCTTACGTTACGCGTTATGTAATGCCGTAACAAAAACGAAATGGTTACGCATTGATCATTACTGTAAACTTTATAATAGGTTTACACATGGATTATTACGATGTGTAACCTTGTTACTCATCGTAATGTGTAGGGTTATTGTGTAACCCTACGTTACACGTTATATACTATTATACTATTACATGAACAATATGGTTACACAATGATGATTACTTAATGATGTGTAACCTTATTGCTCGTAAGTATACTTGTGTGACCCTGTGATACATATATGTGTAATATATATATATATGTGATGATTGCATGTATATTATATACTATTATACTTTTAGGTGAACAATATGGTTACACATTGATCATTACTTCTTGATGTGTAACCTTATTACCCGTAAGAATCCTATGTTACATATTATATGTTACATATATAATATTATATAATAGTATTAAATAACACTGTTACAAAAACAATATGTAAAATGTAAAATGTACAGATAGTTTACACATTGATTATTATGATTACCGAATGATCAGTGTGTGTTTACAACACTACACAATAATACATACATACGTGTAATCATGTTAGATATTGACTTATGGTTACACATTGATGAACATTGTTACCTAGTCAACATGATTGCTAAGTCGATCATTAGTGGCTAATATTTGTCAAGGTTGCACCTTTTTACCCACGAGGACATACATGTGTAACCTTAGGTTACATGTTGATCAATACAAGTACGTGGTCAATGAGGTTACGCATTGATCAGAACTGTTACGTGATCAATAAGGTTAGCAATGATCACTGCTGTTGCTAATCCTTACAAATAAACAATCACAACAAGCACATTACCGGAGATTAGTTAGAGTATATCCCCTACTGGTCAATATTAGTCAGGTCATGTCAAATTATGAGATTATGAGAGATGAAAGAAAACAGTCTCACTGTGACATTGTTCGGGCTCTCCCTCTGCTGCTGCGGCAATTCTCATCTCTCTCTCCTTCTCTCTCCCTCTCCGTCTCTCTCCCAAACCCTTACTGCAGTGATGTTACCAGTCTCCTCCTCCAAACAGATTTTTTCTCTCTTATCCAACACACTTCAACCTGTTTCTGTTAACCATGACATGCGCTGGTATACTGTATTTCTGTGTGTGTGTGTGGTGCTGATGCTGTTGCTAAGAGACTGAACACCTCTGCAGAATTAAAATAAGTTTCCTTTATTGTTGTCATGGAGATGAGACAGGGACCCTCCACAAACTAGTAAACCACGACTCCCGGGACAT